CACCAATACCATCTCATCTTCTCTCTCTCACACACACATCACTTCTAAGTTCTAACTTTCTTCATTGCTATCGAAATATTTTAGTGCTTTATTTTTCTAAATTGTTCCATATTTTCATTTTAACTGTATAAATTTTTATATATTATTTTGTGTTGTCATGACATGACATGATTATACAAAGGAGAGATCTTTAACTCTCCGACTCGAAGTATCTAAGCCAACAATCAAAGGACTACAAGTCCACAACTCTCCAATCAAATATTTGGTATTCTCTTTCTTTAATTCTTTATTTATCTTTACTTATTTAGTTGTTATTATTATTATTATTATTGCCACTTTAGTATAGAAAAATGTCCTTTGATAACGTTAATAAGTCGATTACCATAGATGAAGAGGATGTGCCATTTGACTTTGGTATTAGATCCATAAGTTCTGTGACGACCTTGTGAGCGGATGTGTTATGGGCAGGTGCAAGAGGCACTAGCAGACCACACTGGGCGAGTTACAAGTGCACAATCCCACATCGCCTTGATGTGAAAAAGGAAATGTTATATATGTAGGATTTGTACACTCCAATTGGTATGAGCCCTTTTGGAATAAAACTCAAGAGCAAAACTATACATGCTAGGGCCCAAAGCGAACAACACCATACTATGCGATAGAGTGGGTCGTTACAAATGATATTAGAGCTTGATCCAACTAGAAGTGTGGCAAATGAGGATGTTAGGCTCGACTGGGGGGGTTGATTGTGGCAATCTTGTGGGCAGGTGCAAAAGGCACTGGAAGGCTACCACACTGAGCGAGCTACAGGTGCAAAATCCCATATTGCCTGGGTGTTGAAAAGGGAGCAATATATATATGTAGGATTTGTACACTCCAATTGGTATGAAGCCTTTAAGGGTAAAATCTAAAAGCAAAATGGACAATATCATACCATGTGATGGAGTGGGTCGTTACATGTTCTCCCACTCCCATTCCAAATATTGAATCTTCTAATCTAACATTGTTCTTAGTCTTAGCCATACAAGGATAAAACTAACTTCTCACGAGTGGGAACCTTTTGAGAGAATGCTAGCTGATAATAATGATTAAACTGAAGCAAAATGTAACTATTGTGCAAAAGTCACTTAAATAGACATGCAAAGGGTTGTCATTTTAAAAATAATACTGACGTTAGGACTCAAATGCAATTAAATGTAAATTAAAGCCGCGAGGTTTTCAAATTTAGGTATGATCCAAATGTAGGTGGGGCTAGGAAAATATATAGTTAGAGACGAACAACCCTTTATTTTTGCTGAATCTATTCATTTTGAAAATTTTATAAGAAAATTTATAAATTCTTAGTATAAACACATTTCTAGAACAACCATTAGAAATGATATAATTAAAAGTTTTAACAAACAAAATAATAATTGAAAAAAAATCAAAAATAAAAAATTTTGAGGGTAAAATTTCAATAACCTCATATTTATGGGATCTATGCAACATTTATGTTTTATGTCATTAACTGCACACTATATAGATGCTGAGTGGAATTTGAATAAAAATAATAATATCGTTTAAAATTATTGATACCCCACATAATGGGGCCGTAGGCCATTGTAACATGTTTAAAATGTCATCTTACACCTGCGTGTATGTTCACTTCATTACACATTAGCATATGATTAAGTTTGATCAATGGTCATATCATATCTAATGCTTTACTTAGTGAAATAAAAGAATGAGACATAATAAATAAAATTATTTCACTAGCATTAGATAATGCTACCTACGATGTTAAAGTCACAGAGCGCTTAATTCTAAAATTTCTTTTACCTCTTTAGGAAAAAAAATTCGTGTTCGTTGCTGTGCACATATACTAAATTTAATTGTAAAGGATGGATTATTTTTACTATCTTCTTCTGTTCAAAAGATAAGAAATGTAGTTCAAAACTTTTTTTCTTCTCCAGCAAGATATCAAAATTTTATTGAGTGTTGTATGGGCACAAATTGAGACCCATACGTATTCATATAGATTTTGCTCATAGGTGGAATTCAACTTATGAGATGTTATTAAATATCTAAAATTAAAAAATACTATTAATTTGTATTGCCTTGAATCTCTTGAAAGTAATCAACATTGTTCAATTGAAAAATTATCAGGTGAAGACTGGGATACTATAGCAATTGTTGCACAATTTTTAAAAGTTTTTCATGAATAAAAAAAAAAAAACAAAAAAAAAACAAGAATTGCGGTGTGTATTATCCAACATCTTCTCGAACGCTTTTACAATTAGTTTAGATTGTTTTTAAATTGAAAGATTATTCAGAAAATTTTCAACCTTATTTAATCAAAATGAAAGAAAATTTGATAAATATTTCAAAAAGTTACCAGAAATTTTTTAAATTACCCTTATCTTAAATCTGAGGGGTAAATATGAATATTTAGAAAGTATGTTAGAGTTTCTTTATGGTAGTGAATCTGATGACTACAATAAGACTTAACTTCAATAAAATCAACATTAAATAGTTTATTTAAATATTATTCATCTATTGTGGGACACGATATAACTACTTCGCAAAATATGGAAGGCTCATCTTCATCCAACATATTTATGGGATGGATTTTAAATACAAGGAGAACCACATGTTCTAATAGAAATTTTAATTTATGTAAAGTCATTTTTATTTTTATTTTGTATAAGTTAAGTTACTATTTTTTAGTGTTTCTTTAATAAGGTGTTTATTTTCTCACGCGCGCGCGTATATATATATATATATATATATATATATATATATATATTAGTTAAGCTACTCTATTAAAGAAATTTAAACTCCAATAAAGAAACAGAAACTCGCTGCAACTTAAGTATTTTTTTAGTGCACAACTCAAGAATCAAGATACCCACTAATCTCACTCCAATACTTTAGTTGTTTTTCTTTTAAAGACTCAAATTCTTACCATTCACTTTTGAGAGATAAAAAATATATCACTACTGCGTTGGTACTCCAATACTTTAGTTATTTACCCATTTAAAGTTCATATTTTAGCCCGTTTTAAGCTCACAACCCGGCTCGTTCCAAGCTTCTAGCTCGCCATCCAAGGCAAAGCGTCGGGCTTCTTAAAGTGTGTTTAGGCCCGGCCTGACCCTTTTAAAATTGAAAGCCTGTGGGTTCGAGCCTGCGTTCCAAATTCGCAGGCCAGGCCAGGCCGATTATGCACACTCACCCCGCTTAAAAAAATGGAAAACTACCAATTTCATACATAGCAAACCACAAAGCATCATCGCCAATTAATAAACAAGTAGATTTAGCATCCTCCACAGCATTCTCATTGTATTTTCTTTTTCGCGCGCGAGAGAAAAAAAATAATATATAGAACAGGAAGAAAAAGTTACAATCTCTCTCTCTCTACCCTCCTCTTTCTTGATCTCTCTTTACTATCTCCTCTCCTTTCTCTCTGATTCTGAGTCTCTTTTCGGTTTTGCAAAATCAAAAGAGAAAACAGAGTATTTGTCTTCTGCTGGTATGAAAATTTTACGTAAAATCTAAGGGCATATGAATTTATAAAGGAGCTCTCACTCTCTCTTCAATTGAAGCCTTGAATTTAACTTTTCAAAAAGAAAATAAATCCCTAGTTGAAGAAACATGTTCCTCAGGTGTGAGAGAATAGGCTTTCATTGCGAATGTGCGACGCATGTGGAAACATAATGCAGAAACAAGAAGAGGTTTTTTAGTTTATGATTCTATGTTTTTTTTTTTTTTACAATCATTTCTTTAAAAATATTTGCTATTTACATAATCGTCATATATATATATATATATATATATATATATATATATATATATTTGCTATTTACATAATCGTCATATAGTTTAGGGTTTAAGAATTGAGAAAGACAAAAGGGAAAAAAAGAAAAGAAAAGAAAAAAAAGAACAGATCCTTATAGAAACAAATACTATTTACTAGGGAAATAAAAACGTATAACACCCATATATAAGATCATATCCAACGGCCACTCTCAATTCTGTATATATAAATATACAGAATTAACTTTGCTGAAATTTACATGAAGAAGTTGAAACTCTCCTAAAACAATTTGAGATCACAGAAAAAGTTCAAACCAAATTTTGGCAGGAAAAATAAATAAAATAAAATAAAGGTCCACTCCAAGCATTCCCATTGTCCTCTTGTTTTTTTCCATTTCCTAAAACTTGAACTGATTCAAAAAGTTCATAAAGAGATAGGCATGAATAAGTAGTAGATTCAATTATTGAGATAAAGAGTCAACACTAAAGAAAATGAAGAAGAAGATTGATGATGATGATTGAGAGTAAGATTAAATAAATGGAGACTATTTAATGAAAGGACTTACAGGTAGATGGCGATAAGGATGAACAAGAAATACTGTAATGGAATCGGGAATCGGGTGAGGATAATATAAGCATATAATAATGACTTAGCGAATAAGTGCTTCTACCAGTTTATGGATAATATAAACATATCAAACTAAAGAAAATCATACACAAGTTCAACAGCCTTCATACTTTATCGTAAAAGGTAGGAGCAAGTTGAGAGATAGTACTGAGAACCTTTTTTTGTAGTTGGCTGTTCGGAACATCTGTGGCAACAGGAGGGCTTATGAACTAAACGCGTTTTTACAAAGCTGGACATATCACAGAAACGAGACAAGACGAGAGAATGTCCACAAAATTAGTTTAGCCATGAACACAATTTAGGATTAATACGGTTGAGAAATAACAAGAACTAGGGGATACTATGGCATATGATTTAATAGGAAATGCAGTTTCGGAACCCTAATTAAGTCATGAACAGATAAAAGTGATGGAAAAACTTCATGAAGCCAAAACATATATTAACCGTGAAAGAATATTTTGATAGCAAACAATCAAACTATCAAAGATCATGTGCATTAACTCATCAGGATCCTCAGCACAAAATGCAAACTGTGTACTTCACCTTCACATGAACCACATACAATAAAAACTAAAACAGATTCTAAATCAAAGCTCTTTGACATTATATTACATTTACTAAATAACTGATACATGAACTGGACAGACAATATTTGTGTTTGACAATTTACATAATTATCTCACTCTCATAATTTTTTTTACAATAATAACAGCAACATAAAGGAGAAGGAAAAAGAAGATAGCATGAGTTTCTTATTATCTATCATAAATACATACCACAAACCAGTACCAATAGAAAGACAAACATCACAGATAGGTAAATTTATAGTAAACCAAATCCATTGCTGCAAAATTGTTTCTTCTCACCTCACCCAACTCACCAATTAAGGTTGTGTAGTCCTGATTTGCTGTTTGATGCGGTCTGTAGGGAGCTGCTGATCAGAAACTTCAGGTAACACCGCCGAAGGGGCAGGCGCCATGGTTTGGTAATGAGCAGCCATTTCAGGTGCCAGGGGCTGAGTATAGTATATTTGGGCATGTGCAGGATCGGCAAATTGATAAGCATAATTAGCAGTAGCAGCCCCGGAAGGAGGGGCAACTGACTGAGATGGATAATGAATCTGGGAAAAACCAACATATTGTGGTTGATGCTGAGTTGAAGGTACTTGGACTAATTGCGGTGCCGCTGCAGTTGCTGTTTTGTACACAGCTGCGGAAGGAGGGATCATGGCAGGAGGGGATGGCGTATGGTGCTGGCTAGAAGGGACAGCATTCGCTGCAGCTGCTTCACCATAACTTTGCTGCACTGACAAGTTATAAGGCTGGGGGTCTCTAGCGGGCATGTAGTACACCGGATACTGCTGATCGAGTGCATGATGGGGATGTGGATGATGATGATGTTGTTGCTGGGAAGGGTACATGGGGTAGTAAGATGTGATTGGCACCGCCCCAGTTGGGTGATGGTGGATGTACTGTGTTCCAGCTTGAATGAAATGTTGTTGTTGTGGATTCAATTGCTGATGTTGTTGCTCAAATTGGTTTACCAATACATATCCAGAGTCTTGAAGTTGTTTCATCTGAACCCTAGAGTTGGGATCAGACAAATTGGGATCAACGGGGTTAACTGAAATCCTGTTGTTTCTAGAGGTAATTTGAACAACTTGGTCTTGATAAATCATAGGTCTTTCATGAGACATTTGGTTTGGTATACTACCATCACTGTAAAATTCATCAATCACATACCCCATTTCAGGAAGTCCACATCAAATATATATGTGTGTGTGCAGAAGGACATTAATGCATACATAAACATACATGTGAGACATAATGGAAAGTTAAAAGAGGTATGTAGAGAATTAAGTACCTTGAAACTGACTCTGGGGATTGCAAATCAAGACCCCCACTTGTTTTCAGCTGCTGCGATTGTGGAGGCATTGGCATTGGCATTGGCTGTGGCGGTGGCTGGGCTTGTGTACGATACCCAATTGGTATCCCCTGCTCTGATCTTTCATCATATGAGAAAACCCAATTCGGATACTCATCGGAAACCATTGTAGTCCCCACCGGCACACCCATAGCAGCAGCAGCAGAAGTCAACACAGTAGCAGGCTGCTGCGAAGCCAAAACCCCTAGACCCCCATGATCTTGATCTTGCTTCGCGCCAACACTCATCTGCGCAAACTGCTCCTCAATTTCCCCAGCCGCCACCTTCTGATCATCCACATGAACCCTAATCGGCGGCAAATTCGCCAGCGACGGAGAAGACGAAGTCGAGCCGAACGACGAATTCTTCTCCATCATTGGAGAATCGGGCACCGATTGAACATCCTGAACACCCGACTTGCCACTATTACTACCACTAACCCCTTTAACCTTACCAAACGATTCGAGCTGTGCTTCTACGTCCTTCCCCGACGAGTTCGACACATCATCGCCGAGACCCAATAAGCAATTCATCGTTGCCGCATCGGAAAACCCATCGGTTGCTCCATTGAGGGCGTTCAGGAACCAATCCTCGGACTTGGTAGAATTCTCCAGCAGAGACCCAATTGAGGAAGCGGAATCGGATTTCGATGGAAAGAGAAAGAGGCGGACGCGAGAAGATTTGCTGGCAGTCGTGGTGGTGTTGGTGAGGCGGTCGTGTTCTTCGATCATGTTGTCGAGGTCTTCGTCGGTGGTGACGGAGATCAAGGAATCGAGGTCTTCGTTTGGGAGTTGGTATTTGAGGTTGAATGATCGGCCGTTGAGGAGGGTTTTGGAGAGTCGATTGGTGAGATCGGAGAGGGTGCTGTTGCGGTCCACCACCACCATGCGCGTGTCACCGCCGACGTAGCAGAGAGACTTGTCGTGTGGGCGGGGAACTATGCGCCCGCCGTAACTACACATCAACCGCAACTTGGCGCCGCCGCCGCCGCCTAGGGCGGTGGGCATTGACTGCTCATCCCAGGAATCGGTGTTACGGGAGCGAGGGGAGGAGCCACCTGAATCGGGGTAGTTGAGATGCGGTGGTGCAGACACCACCGCGGCGGCGGAGAGTGGTGGTGGTGGGTCCATGTGGAGAGAGAAGCTGGGGAACCTCCGCCGAGGAGAGAGAAAATTGAGGGCTTGGTATAATGGGAACTGGATGCGCTCCTATAGTCTATACTATACTATTGGGCTTTTTATTTTTATTTTATTTTTTTTATATTCCATTATTTTTTTTATTTTTTTTTTTTTCCTACTCATATTGTTTGTGATTTGAAGAGAAATCCAACGCTAGGATTATGCACAGAATCTTCTCATTCAAATTGGGGTTCTGAAAACAAATTCTTACACAAATTCTAAATTCATTTTAATTCTCAATTTCTCGAATTTAATTTGTCAATTTTTTAATTCACAGTAATATAGGAGTATCATTTATTAAGTTATGCACAACTAAATGTGACAAATATTAAATATAAGAGCTATAAAAACCGAATCTTATCGTATTGCTTTTAGCTTTATATTGATTTGCTTCGAATTTACTCAATAAATGTTTAGAGATATTCAAATCAATTCTTAAAATAATATACAACTTAAAAATATTAAATGTGTTTACAGTATATACACAATATATATTTAAAAACAAATTAAATGTGGACTTTTCAATTTCAAGGACGCTCCTACCCTTGAAGTTAGGTCATTTTTCAGTTAGATTGACATTTTGGTTTTAAATTTCACTTACATTTGAATTAGTAGTTTAATAATTCACTTAAATCCCAAATGTTAATTTTTGGTGGGGTCATAATACTTTTGAGGTGTTAAATGACTGCTACCATTTGACCTCCTGTTGACTATTTTTGTGACCAAACTCCCCAACATACACCTTTCCTCTTCTTCCTCCTACCGAATTCGCCATAACACAACCAGCACCACACAGCCACACAAAACCAAACTCCTTAAAATTACACAGATATATATCTATATATACACACACACACACAAAACATTATTGTAGCCTTGTGATAATGTTATTAATGCATTTATATATACATATATAGGAGGTGGTAGTGGCTGGGCAAGCTCGGAATGATGGCTGCAAATCACCAGCGACGATGGCCTCGAAGAAGAGAGAAGAACCCACCGACGACGATGAGCTTAAAAGATGATGGCCTCGGCGATGGACCGGTATCGCTTCATAGCGTTGGTGAGTCTGTGAAGAACTCACTAGCAAAGTCTTGTTGTGCGCTCTTGGCTTTCAATTTGGGGTTTGGATTTGGTGATGGTTGTCACCAGCGACGTCTCCGACTGTGGTGGCAATGTCATGGGTGTGGTGGTGGTGGTGGTGGCGGCGGCGGCTATAATTACTTTTTAAATTTTATAATAAAGTTACATGAGTTAGAAGACAATTCTATTTGATATCAAAAAGAATATGTTACATGGCAAAGTACCAAAAACCTAAATTTTACATTTTGTGCACCTAACACCATTATCCTTTATTTTGTGTTTTAAAGTTCTAATTGTTTTAAAAAATGTTGCAAAGAAGTCCTTAAAGTTATCGATCCATTAGAAAATGACCGTTATGAAAATTTTAACATATAAAACCCCCAAAACACCCTTGCTCTTGATAAATGCATAATTTATAAATAATTAACCTCCAAAATTATATTTGTTAGTAGTTTATTTTATATAATTTATTTAATCCTTGTGTTTTTGTATTTTTTTAGAGGTTATTGATAAGTGCACAAAACTTGTTATTTTATACTCAATAATAAATGATTAATTAGTTTTTTCTATTAAATAAATATGCTTATCCCTACTTTTCATACTTTATAGGGGCCGATTTCGAAATGAGAAGAAAAGAGACAAAAATAGCAAAATGTTGGATCACACGATCAATCAAAGTAAAATTCAAAATTGGTTTTTCCATCAAATCAGCAAAGATCAAGGCAAATTGAAAAAGATATCAAGCCAAATTGGAAAGCACATCAAGTCAAATTGGAAAGCAGCAGGATTTAAGAAAGATTATTTTATTTTCACTTCTGTAATTAGAATTTTCTCCTCCCAATCGTTATATTCTAAACTCTATAAATTGGGACATATGTAGAGGAGGTTGGATGTACATTGTTAGTGAGAGAAAATAATAAAAGTTGAGAATTTTTTTCTTGAATTTCTTTTGTGCATTTTAAATTTTATGTTTTATTTTCTTGTAAGTATGTTATCTCAAACACCCCTTCTCAAGGGAGTGATGAAGCTACTATGGCCGAAATATAAGTAAATTTAGTTTATTTCTTTTATGAAATTTTCTCTTGAGAGCATTAATTTTATTCTTCTATTCTAATATTTTTATATGAAAAATATAGAGGAAGAATTTTCGTGTTTGCTAAGTAATGGTAATACGAAGAATGTCTATTTCTATTTGCATTTTTTTTTTAGCAAAGCTAAAACAGATTAAATAAAAATTGTTCTCTTATATAAGCAAGTGTCATATAATGTCATATTTTCCTTCATCTTTCCAAGTTGCAATTAGATGGGTGAAGTGATTTGCTTGAAAAAAAAAAAAATCATATAAACAGTATAAAAATTTATTTATATTGAGCTGTGGTGGATTCTTTCCTTTGATATTTTTCCTATTATTTGATCAAAAATTATTTAGTCTTATTTATATATTTATTTTATTTATTTTGTTTTTAGTTCATTATTCAAAAATCATCAAATTGTTTAAAAGTTATTCTTCCATTCTTAAATTTTGGTTTTAATTTTGAGTTCATGAATTCAACTCTTGAATGTGTGGTTCGACCTTGCTTATTCTATACTATTTTTAGTTTAGTCTTTGCAGGTTTTTCTTTATTTTTGCACAAAGTGTAAAGAGGCCCAAGACTCTTCTATGCATACCTTACTATTTGGGTCATAACTCTCAGCTCGGGTATCGGATTAAAGTAAGATCAGATGTTTCAGAAATCTTATCCATAGAGGGATATATTTGTATTTCATAAAGAATCCCAAAATCTGACGTTTAAGGGGTGAAAATTGTATGTCAAAGTTAACCCAATATTTTGTACGAAAATTACACCAATTATGGTAATTAGACCATAACTTTTGACTCAAACATCAAAATGGCGTAAAATTGTGGAAAGAGAACTTGAAGACCCCCCCCCCCCTTCCCTCTCTCTTTATGGTGTGCTCTGCCCCACTATCTAGTTTGCAACAATCCATTATTGATTAGCCAATTAGATAATATATATATATATATATTGGATTTTAATAATTTTATTATATAACTAGCTTCTTTTTTTTATTTTGTGATGGCCCAAGTTTTTCAACCCGGTGCGTCAGTGATGAACCGAAAGATGACCCGATAACGGATCCGAAATGCGGAAGCAAAAGACAAAACAACGGTCTCTAGAGATACCACGCATCTCTAAGACACCAATGTGACACTCAATGAGGTCATGGAACCCAAAGGAAACAAATGCAGAAGCAACATTTTAAAAACGGACAAGAATGCACCTAGGGGCAAAATCATCATTTCCAGCTTAAAAGTGGGTGTCACCAAGTACACATTTGGAAATACAACGAAAAATTAATAAACTTAGACTCAAAAATCGCTTGATTCGGAGTCCGGATGAAGAAGATATGGCTAACGGAAGAAGAAGGGGCAAAACGGTCAAAAGGTGCCAACCCAAGATCATCTAACCGGTTAGGAGACCTTCCTAACCGGTTAGGAGGCCAAAAATCACGACATATACACTGCCCACACTCATCTAACCGGTTACGAAACCCCTCGTAACCGTTTACATGTGAAGGCGGTAGAATGGGCAGCAAGAAACCTTGGCAGCAGGGGTTTTTCCGGGAAAAAAGGAAACTTGAGGCCCTAAATGACATTTTATGGAAAAACATAAAGAAAAAATCCCCCTCAAAATTGAGTTTTCTACGTGACTCGTGAGGTAAATTGAAAAATACGCACTGTGAAGTACTAAAAATGCCCTCCCAAGAAAACTGGTCCAGAGGGTCCAAAAAGCTGCTAAATTTAAAAATTGAGAGCTGAACTTCGGGATCGATTTTTGATGCCAAGACGACATTTCCCAGAAAAACACAAAGAAGAAACCCCCCCTAAAATAACATTTTCTATTCAACCATGTGAAGAACAGAATTTATTTCTCAACGAAAATTCCTAAAATACTCTTAGGTCAGAATATGCAACAAAAGTGAAAAATGAGTCCGTAGGAGGCTCATTTCACTAAAGAAGAATCTTTGCCCAGAAACGACCATGCACGCAAACGTAACTTACCTAGTAAGATGTGCTACAATGGTCCATGGCCTAAAAATATGGCCGATACAAAATATGACCCCCCAACGGCCAAAATGCCAAAAATGTAATTTGGAATGAAACTTGGAATTCAAAACTATGAAATGGTTTCAAAATACCATTTGGCCCTTGGCCACACTTCATACATGATTAATGAGACCCTATGGAAGAATCAAAATGGAATTCCCACACCCAATGCAAACATGGTGAAGCAAAAACTCAATATTTTTTAATACTTTCATAATATTCCATGAAGTCAAAAATTACGTATGATACAAATTACATGTCATTGGCCTCCGGCCTCATCTCATACATGTCAAATACATTGTAAAGAGTGTACTCATGTACACATTACATATATGGAGTCAAATGTACATATGTTGACATATAAGACTACAATTGGCATTCCGAGCCAACCTTCACAAAAATGGAAGTCTCCACGTCGACAAACCATTCAAGCATAATGAGAACCTCAAGTTTGATTCTTGTACCTAAAATATGCCCCAGTATTGTAGAGGTGAGTAACATAAAGTTACTCGTAGGAAATGAGCACGCATCGACCCACGTTTTACAAGTTGCATGATTTAATTATTGTGTTTCATCCCACCTAACGTCTATGTCAAAGGTGAGACTCAAGGAGCGTCCTAGCTACCTAAGATCATTTCTAGTATCAATCATTTCATTCATGCAATTTTAGCAACATATGGTCATGCTTACACAAAGTAACAACATAGTAGCACGCTTACACAAAGCAATAACATAGGAGCATGCTTACACAAAGTAACAACATATAGATTCTCAAGGTAATCAACTTGAAGTCTAAAATGCAACATCAGCTAAATATAACAATTTAGCATAATTAGAATATCTAATACCACACATCAAGACATAGATTCTCTAAGTTATCAACTAGAAATCTAAAAGTGTGAAATCAACTA